TTTTATTCATACCGGGATGATGCGCTATGGTTTGACCTCGAATGAAGTTTGTATGGATGATGTTTTTCATTCATACCAGGATGATTCCCTCTGATTCCTCCTCAAATGAAGTTTGTACAAAAAATGTTTTTTGTTCGTACCGAGATTATGCCCTCTAGTTCATCCTTGAATAAAGTTTGTACGGATAATATATTTTGATCGTACCAAGATGATGGGCTCTGGTTCCTCCTCGAACGAAGTTCGTACATATGATATTTTTTATCATACCAGGATGAATGGCTATGGTCTATTTTCGTTCATTTCATCTTGATTGTTCGTACAAACTAACTTTGAAATTTTCTATGTTCATACCAGACAAACCAAGTTCATACCGAATGCTGATCGAATATGAATTGATTTTGTACCGATTCATAATGGGTTCATACGTAATAGTTTTTAAAATGTCCATACGTATGAAATACGATCACACATTACGATCGTGGATGGTCAAATTTGAAAATTTAGTTTTCTGGACTATTTTTTGTGTCTTTTCTATAAAAGGTCCACTACAAACTGTCACTTAATCTTTTTGTCATCTAATCTTCATAAATTCTAAAGGGAAATTGAAGGAGAGAATGTGAGAGAGTGTTTGAGAGAGATTTCTTCCTAGTAAAGCATAAAGGGTTCACAAGGTTACTCAAGGGTAAGGATCTCTGTATTTTATTTATGTTTCTTCACTCTTTCTCTTGATTTTCTAGATTACTTATGTGAAGATCTTTCAAGAAGTTCCAGTTCTCTGCTGACATTTAGAGGGTGTAAAAGGAATAAGGTTCTCTTCCTACACTTGGAGAGTGTGAACAGTCGAAGGTTCTCTGCATACACTTGGAGAGTGTGAATAGCAGAAGGTTCTTTGCCTACACTTGGAGAGTATGAACAGCCGAAGGTTCTCTACCTACACTTGGAGGGTGTGAAAGGATGAAGGTTCTCTGCCTACACTTAGAGGGGGTGAAAGGATGACAATTTTCTATCTCACTGGGGATCAGTGGAAAAGAATTTTTTAAAGGCTTCTCCGCCTTACTGTGGGGGAAAAAGGAGAGTCACTTTGGTAATAGTGAAATACTTGAGGTGGGAGGCTTCAGTGAGTAGATGTAGGTCACGTTTGACTGAACAATTATAAACCTTTATGTCATTTTTATTTCCACAGCTTTAACTTCCGCAAGTTTATTTTTTTGTGGTTGAAAAAATATTTTAAAAATTTTAAAATTAACTTACTACAAATTATTAATCGGTTTTTCACATTTTTAATCCAAGAGTGTTAAAATTTTAAAATTACTAATTTACCCCCTCTTGGTTAGCCTTGGGAAATTAGATAAGGTTTAACAACCTATTATAGATTCAACAAGTTACAACAAGTGGTATCAGAGATTTGTTTTAAATTCATAAGTTTAGACTATTTCTTGATTAACAAGCATTACTATATTTGGAAATTGAAACACACCAGGAGGATATTCGAACACTAAACTTCCTTTATTTGATAACATTCTTCTCAATTTTGGAAGACACTCATGTCTATATTTTTATAGTCACTTGATTATCGTATGTGAATCTTAGTTCAAGAAGGATAGATAAAACCAACTATATTAGTTGATGGTATTAGAGTTGATATTCCCTTTGCTAATTAAACTAGAATAACGTGACTTAGCACAATTAAATGCAAAGTATCTAAATAGTTTCTTTTGTGCACTTAAATATGAAGACTAAATACGAGTTTCCACTTACAAAAGTGGAAAGGACATATGGGATAGATTTTGTATAACTTATCAAGGGGCTAACGAAGTTAAGCAATCTAGACTTAATATCTTGTTACATGACTATGAATTGTTTTGCATGAAATCCAATAAATCTATTTCTAACAAGTACATAAGATTCACACAAATAGTCACTTCTTTATATGCATTAGGTAGGGAGTTAACGAATGTTGAAATGGTTAATAAGATACTTCATTGTTTGCCAACTACATATGATGCTAAGATAACTGCAATTACAGAGTAAAAAGACTTAAATATTTACTCTATTGATAATCTTCGTGGATCACTAATTGCTTACGAGCAAGGGGTGAGTCAAAGAAAGATTGATGTAGGAGATCCACGAAAGGAGAAGAATATTGCACTTAATGTGGAGGAGTCGAAGAGTGATCTATCATAACCTGAGGATGAGGACGACATCGCCTTGATGAATAGACAATTTAGGAACTTTCTAAAGAGGAAGCAGAAGAGACGCCAACAGTGGAATAGAGATAAATTCTATAAGAATGTTAAGATTTCTAATGATGTGATTTGCTATGAGTGTAGGAAACCTAGACATGTTAAATCAGACAACCCAAAACTTAAAGCCACTCCCAGCAAGGAGAAGGCAGAGGAGAAACCAAAAGAGAAGAAGGGAAAGAAAAAATTTCGAAGAGCTTTTTGGGCGGACTTAGCATCAGACTCGTTAGAAATTAAAAAGGGGTAAGAAGTCACCAACTTTTACTTAATGGTAGATAATCATGATCAGTTAGATCAAGAAGAGGTATGTGACTTAACCTATGCTGAATTATTAGATGTTTCTGAAAGAATACATAATGTATATATGAAGTTAAAGAAAATGTATGCTAGTCTGAATATATAATTATAAGAGCTGTAGAGAGAATAAGAAATCCATAGGAAAGATCATGCATTAATTTATAACAACCACATGAGCTTACTTAATGAATTTGATAATTTAAATAAGGAGAATGAGATTTTGAAAACATCCTATGCTCAATTGGAAAAAGAATTTAAAAATTTTAAGGATGAATAAGAAAATAGAGAGTATCATTTGAATTTTTTCAATCATGTGTTAGAAGATGTAAATGCATTTTTGAAGTTGAAAGTAAAAGAACTTGTGGAAAATAGGAAATCACCAATACTTGAAGATTTTTCTAATTCTAGTTTGTATCCAAAATTTTTGTAACCCAGGAATAGATAGAGTAGTTATAGAAGATTAAGAAATCCATTTCCTATAGTTAAATAATTTTCTTGTGAATTGTTTGGACATATAGCACACACTTGTACTTTATATAAAAAAAATCATTTAATGTGGAGACCTTAGATGCATAAACCTAGACACATCATATATGCATCTATTTATAATTTGCTAAAAGGTGAACCCAAGCTTGTTTGGGTTCCCAGTTCTAACATTTGATGATTTTATAGGCATGCTCTCATACAAGGCCTCATGAGAGCATTTAATACCTGGACAGTAGTGGCTCAAAGCATATGACTATAGATACTACATAATTTATAATGCTGGAAGCCAGGAATGGAGGCAGGATTACACTTGGAGATAACACCACAAGGAAGGTGGTTGGATTAGGTATGATTGAAAATTTGAAAAACTTCTTTATTGAAAATGTGCTACTAGTTAAACTTTTTCCTACTAGCTGCATTTTAGGCCTAAATGATAATGATGTTTTGCATGAAAAAAGGGTAAATAATGTTTATATGTTAGATTTAAATTTTATCAAAACTCTTACTATTTTTTGTTTGAAAATTATTTCTGATGAATCATGGCTTTGGTATATGATACTTTATCACTCTAGCATAAAAAATCTTAGAAGAATTACCCAAAAGAACTTAGTGAGAGGTATACCAAAACTAGACTTTACTAAGGATCACCTTTGTGATGCGTATCAATTAGGAAAGCAGGTGAAGTCCTCTTTTTAACCCATTTAGGATCTTAGAACTAGCAAGCCTTTAAAGATTTTACATATGGATCTTTTTGGACCGGTAGGAATAGTAAGTCTAGGAGGGAAGATATACGGATTTGTGATAGTGGATGATTTTTCAAGATTCACTTAGGTTAAATTCTTATATCATAAGAGTGAATCATTTGAGGAGTTTCGAGATTTTTTTACTTGGATTCAAAGGAAATTAGGATGTCAGGTTTTGACAATTCAAATTGATCATGGTGGTCAATTTGAAAATAAAAAATTTGAGGATTTTTGTAAAGAGAAAGGAATTGATTATAATTTTTCAGCACCTAGAACCCCTCAGCAGAATGGGGTAGTCGAAAGGAAGAATAAAACATTAATAGAAGTCGCTCGAGCCATGTTAACAGAATATTCACTTCCTAAAAATTTTTGGGCTGAAGCGATTAAGGGGAGAAAACCTAATTTGTCATATTTGCATGTTTTTTGCTATAAGATGTTCATATATAATAATAGAAAATCTACCTTAGAAAAATTTGATCCAAAATCAGATAAAGGAATTTTTCTTGGATACTCTAGTGTTGGAAAATCTTATAAAGTGTTTAACAAAAGAACTTTGGTAGTTTAGGAGACCACATATTTGATGAATATGGAATTTTGGATGAGCCAAATGTTGAAGAGGATGAGATAGAAATAAACTCCCAAAAGATTGAGAAAATAAATTTGGATGAAAATTTAGAGTTAAAAAAACCCTTTACCTAGAGAATTGAGATTTTTTATTAAGAGAAAATGATTTTCTAGTGAGAGACTGTGAGAATTTCTAGTGAGAGAACAATTTTCAAAAAATCATTTGGTGGTGAAGAAGCGGCGGCCAATGGCGGCGGTTGATCGCCAATTATTAGCTGGTGATTATCCAAAAGGAGTTCGACAATCTACTTCTGATGTACAAAAATGAATCTTCAATAACAATTCTCCTCTGGTGTTTGGAAATTCAAATTCAGGAATCAACTCAAGGGCTGGAAATAATGGTGCGAGGATTTCTTCATATGCTAAACCGTTGATGATCAATGAAGCAAAACCTTTACCAGTTGTAGAAAAATGTAAAGGAATTGCTATCTCAGATGATCCAAAATTCCTCAAATTTAATAAGTCCGTATCGACTATGTTAACAGAAACAAATGAAGATGGTTTGAAAGTTGTTGGAATTCAAGAGAATTCAGATAAAACCGATACATGCAAAAAAATTGTTGTGAATCAAATGTATGCAGAGGAGACTGATTTGAATAAGGTTTGAATGTGTGATTCAGCTATAAGAGGCCATGGTATTTTGAACAATGAAGAAGCCAGTTTATCTAAAGAGCAAACTGGGAACAATCTGATGAATGCTTGGCAAAAGAAATCCAATAAAAGGATTTCTGATTCTGACTGGAATTTTGGAAGTTGTATTTCTGAAGATGGCTCAACAATTCAGTCGTATGAAGGAAAAGTTTTGGAAAATACCAAAACTTTTCAGAAGGCTTTAGTGATTAAAGCATTTGGAGAGAATGCCTCTTCATTTATGGTAAATACTGAACTGAGGAGACAATGGTCTCAAATGGGAAATTTTAAGCTAACTTGTCTTGGAAATGGATGGTGCTTGAGTTTATTTGAAAATGACGAAGCTGTGGAATCGGTTCTCGCTAATGTACCCTGGTACGTGAAGGGTAACATTATTGGAGTGGATAGATGGAGCCAATCTTTTTCTCCCAATTCGTTGAAAGGTTTGACTGCACCAATTTGGGTAAGAATGCCAAACTTACCTCTTCACTATTGGGATCCTATAAATGATTGTAGGATTGCCTCAAAGGTTGGTAAACCTTATTTACTTGATGAAAATATGTTTCAATGGGGGAGACGTGAGTTTGCAAGGATTTTTTTTCATATAAAACTTGAAGAATCTCTACCTCTTGGAGTTTGGGTAGAAGGAAAATCTGGTAAATTTTATCAAAAAGTTGAATATGAAAAGGTTCCTAATATTTGTTTTGGTTGTGGTAAAATTGGACATGACCAAATGAATTGCCATAAGAAGGTTGTTGCAAAGTCATCAAAAAGTATAGATGCATATGAACGCAATGTGAATGATCCTTGAGTTATTCCTATCAAAGATCAATTTGTTGAAGCTGGTACAGTTGATGACAGTGGATATGGACCTTGGATCCATGTCAGATATGGAAGAAAGAATTCTGATGGGATTGGCTAAAGGAAGAATTCTAATGGGATTGGCTTTCGTGGGAAGAAAAATGTTGCAGACAATACTACAAATAAGATTAGTTTGAATCAGGGGAACAAGAAAATATTTAGAAAGAAAATTATTGATAGTGCTGAAAATGTTGAAGCAGATAGGCTAGCTGTTCGTGTTTTTTATGAATAGGACAAAGAAAATCTCTGGAATTTATTGAAGTCCAAGACATTCCAAATACAAATAAATTCTATGTTCTTACTAATCTAGTGAAGGAAGATGTTTTGCAAATTGTTGTAAATGTTAAACCTGGAACAGAGATTGTTGAAGGAAATGGTGAGACATAGCTATGATATTTGTCCCATAATGGCTTCAATTATGTTTTGGAATTGTAGAGGAGCCAAAAAAAAAGAGAGGCTTCTCTATACTTTAGGGAGATGGTGAAAGAGAACAATGTGTTTTTGGTGGGCTTTTGGAAACCAAATCCTTAAATTTCAGCAATTCTGATATTTACAACCTTAATGGGAATGAATGGGAATTTGTTCAAGTTCCTGCTGTTGGTTTATCTAGTGGAATTTTGATATTATGGAAGTTCAAGAAAACTTCATTTAACTACTTATTTGCTTCTAATCAAGCTATCATTGGTGATCTTGAAGTCATGAAGATGGGGAAGTGGAGAATAGCCACGGTTTATGGTGGTAGAGAAGCGGTTCATAGAAGAATTTTGTGGGCTAATCTTGAAGAGTTATTCTCTAACAGCAATCCCCTAATTATTGGGGGTGATTTTAATTACATTTTGGCTAATGAAGATAAACGAGGAGGAAGACCTTTTCGGTTCTCTCAGGGAGCTAGAGAAATGAGCTCATTCTTTCAAGATGTGACCTTCATGAAGTAAATATTGTTGGACCAAGATTCACTTGGTGCAATAATAAAAAATGGTAATGCTAAAATCTTAGAGAGGTTGGATAGATTCTATGTGAATCTGGTTGCTTTGAAGTTCAACCGGATGTTGGTGAGACATTTGACAAGGGTGGCATCAGACCATTGTCCTATCATATTGATTTTTTTGGATGTTAATTTTGTAGTAGATAAAATCATAAGATTTGATAAAGTTTGGGCTTCATATCCAGCATCAATTAGAGTAGTTAAAGCAGCTTGGTCCAAGAAGACTAGTGGAGATAATGTTCAGGTGTTAAATCTTAAATTTTGTAGAACTATGAAGGCACTCTTTTATTGGAGTAGAGACAAATTCAAATAGTTTGAACAGCAAAAAGTATCCCATAAGTCCAAAATTCAAGAGTTACAAACTAAGGAGGCGGAGATTGGATGGCTGACAGAGGAGGAAGTCTTCATTCTTCGATCTTATGTTGGAATATTTGAATTCTGTATTGGAAAGGATGAACACTTGGTGGAAGCAAAGAGCAAAGATAAGCTGGATGAAGCGAATTCACACTAATACCAGTTTCTTTTACTCTTTTTCTTCAGTAAGGAAGAACTCAAACTGTATTTATAAAATTAAAAATGAAGATGGATCAGTAATTGAGGATCAGAAGCTCATTTCTGAAGTTCTTTTTTTAATTTTTTTAGTAGAAAATGGAATAGAAGAGAGGGTTATCTGGATGGATGGCCATGTCCTAGTTGAATGATTGATGAGGAGGATAGAACAAATTTAATCAAAGATCTTTCTATGGAAGAAATGGAGAATGTTGTATTTCATACAAATGGCAGCATTACACCTGGAAATGATGAAGTCACCTATTCCTTCATGAAGCATTATTGGAATATAATCAAGAAATGGAGAATGTTGAATGAAAAGAGACTCGTTTGGTTCTAATTCCAAAAGTGGTGGTTCTTCCTTACCAAGCCATTATAGACCTATCAATTTATGTAGGTCTATTTATAAGGTGGTAGCTAGAATTTTATTGAATAGAATGAAGATCATGATTCAAAAAGAGGCGTCGGTGGAGCAAACTGCTTATATCAACGGAAGAGTAATGGGGGGTCATATGCTATTGCCTCAGGAGATTTTTCAGAAAATCAAAACTTCAAAATCTTTAAAAGGCTTGGTTTCTTTTAAAGTTGATTTGGAACAAGCATATGATAGCATGAGTTGGAATACTCTTAAAGGTATTTTAAAATACTTTGGTTTTTCAGAGATTTTCTCTAGATGGATCATGGAATGTGTAGAATTTCCTAAATTCTCTTTGCTATTAATGGTAGTATTTATAGCTGGATTCATTCGGAGAGTGGATTTAGACAAGGGTGTCCTCTATCACTCTATCTATTCATTTTATGTGCTCAATTGTTCACTAACCGGTTCAATCTAAACAAGATAGCTATGAGTATCCAGATTGGAAGGAATTTGCCAAAGATATCATACCTTTTATATGCAGATGACATCATTATCTTCTCTCATGCTAGTCTTAAAGAAGTTAGAGAAGTCAAAGAATCAATTTCAAATTTTTATTGCTGGACAGGGAAGAAAGTTAATGCTGAAAAATCTGTAATGTTATTTGGTAAACATGTTGAAATAAGGAAGACAAAAGCTATTGAAAGAATCATGGGCTTCAAAGTGGTTAGACAATTCTTGTATCTAGGAGTAAAATTGGCATTGAGAAGATTAAAAGCTGTAGATTTTTATATCATTGTGGAGAAAACTATGAATCTTACGGCAGTGTGGGGTAGCAAACATCTTTCTTTGGCTAGTAAAATGTTGTTGATCAAAACAACGTTGCGCTCTATCTCAAATTTTTATTGCACTTATTCATTAGTGCCTAAAAGCATTCTAAAAGAAGTTGAAAGACTTTGTCGTCAGTTTATTTGGAACAAATAAGATGGGCAGTTGGGTTTGCATTATGTCAGCTGGAATAAATTGTGCAAACCAATGGATCAAGGATGAAGAGGTATTCGATCTTGTGTGGATAGTGTGGATGATTTAAGAGCTAAGTTATCTTGGAGAGTTATTCAGGATAATGAGTCTTCGCTATTTCAAATGTTAAACCAAAAATATGGAAAATGGTGGGATGACTCTGAGAATGCAGCTGTAACTTCATCTACTGGAAAAATTTTATCCAGTGGTAAAAAGGCGATAAAATCTATAGTAAAGTGCGAAGTTACAAATGGTTGTTTTATCAACATCATGGATGAAATTTGGATTATGGATAGAAAACATAGCTCATGGCCTACATTTGTTTCAGTTCAAAGCTGTAGAGGAGGATACAATGGATTGCTTAATTGCAAATGGTAAATGGAATGATATGAAACTTAAACATTTTTTGGGAAGGAGATTTGTAAAATAATTATGAAGATTGAAATTCATATGGATCATGATAATGACAAACTTGAGCTAATCCATCAGCATTTGGGTTATTCAATTTCTTCACTGATTTATAGAAATTCAGAGATGTAGGAACATAAGTGTATGTTCTGGAATTGTTAAAAAAAAAGCATGATTGAGCTCAAGGGTTGAAGTCTTTTGGTGGAGGTTGTTCAATAATTCTTTACCTACTTATGAATTCTTTTATCAGAGAAGAATACAGGAGAATTTCTTCTATCAAAGGGGTTGTGAACATATTGAAGATGTTGATCACAAAACGGTATCCTGTAATAAATTCAAGAATTTTATTCAAAGCTTGAATAAATGTGGATTTCAATTCAAATACTTTGATTCATTTCAATCTTATTGGAGGTGGATGGAAGAAAATCAAAGTAAACAAGGATTCATGGTGAATGTTTATTGCAATGCAGTATATTTAACTTGGAATTCCATAAACAAATTCATTCATGGGGAAGTAGAAGATTGTTCACGCTCTTAGCTACTTATGTTGTAAGTATGGCCTCCATTTCTTTTACGGCTGATGGAAAAATGGGACACTGGGGTACGAATCGGTCGTCTAGACTGTCAAATACTTTGTACCCTCCTCCTCCCAATTGGATAAAAATTAATGTTGATGTTTCCTTATTAAAAAATTACAAGGCCGGAATTGGTGGTGTTGTCCGTGATAGTAAAGGAAGATTGTTTTTGGCTTATGGTCATTCTTGTATGCATTGGGACATTGCTTCTCTTTAGCTTTTTTTGGTCCAGTTCATAAGGGAAATCAAGAAGGATTGGTTGCAAGATTATCAAGGAATTATTATTGAAGGAGATAACTACAATGTAATCAAATATTTTCAAGGCTTTGAAGGTAAGTGTAAAGATGATCTTTTACTGTTAAAAGATCATAAGTTCATTTATTTTATTTGGGTAAATAGTGAATGTAATAAGTTAGCTAATCTATGTGCTAGCTATGACATTTGCAATAATTTTTGTTGGGAGGATTTATCCTCTAATAAGATTCCTTCCTTGTTCTCTAATTTGTTAAAGGAGGAATCTATAGTTTCTAGTAGTTTGAAATTTGTTTGCTTTGGTTAATAAAAGTCAGCCTTGCGCTTTTAAAAAAAAATAAAAAGAGAATTGAGATTTTCTAAAAGCCATCCTAAGGAATTAATTTTAGGTGAACCTAGTGAGGGTGTTAGGACTAAGAATGGACTGAGCAAAGAAGTCAATCATTCTGCCTTTATTTTTACAATAGAACCCACAAATATAAATCAAGCACTTTTGGACGAGTTTTGGATTTTTGCAATGCAAGAAGAATTGAATCGATTTGTAAGGAATGATGTTTGGGAATTAATTATAAGGCCAAAGGATCAAAGTGTAGTTGGAACTCAAGAGTTGTGGTTAGAAATAAGGCTAGATTGATAGCTAAGGGGTATAATCAGACTAAAGGAATTGATTTAGAGGAGCCTTTTTCCCCTGTAGCTAGACTTGAAGTAATTAAGATTTTTTTAGCCTTTACCTACTTTAGAGGATTTAAATTGTATCAAATGGATGTTAAAAGTGCCTTTTTAAATGGAGTGATTCAATAGGATGT